AATAGTAGGAATGGTGCTGTTTGATCTATTAATAGTCTGGGGAAAAACTACAAATGTTTTAGCAGGAAGAAGTTGCACATGTCAAAAACATTTTGGCTAGACAGGGATAAAAAAGCTTTGAAGCTCTTCTGAAGAACCTGAGTAATCGCCATGAGAACAGAGGCAATAATTATTCAATAATGCAGTCATACACACAAGAAGTAAAATGATTTCATCTTCTTATACACCTTTTTATTCTGAATGTATTATATCAGTCAGCAACATCTAGGGAGTAATTGTGCAAAATTCTTTGGAAGCAATCTTAAAAATGAAGCTACTGTTTTAATGTCTAATGAATAATAAGGGGTTTGATATGGTAAAATGTATTCATTATGCTGTTCTAAAAAAATCTCATCTCAAATACAATATTAGCTCTGGCGTCCCCTTCAAATGAACTTTAGCTATGATACATTCTGAAGAAGCCACATAGACAGTTGAGGGAAGTGATTTGGACATCTGAAATCACCGAAACTGTAATCACAGGTGCTTTTACCTAAAAATAAGGAAATTCACCTACTTGCTCTCTCTTAGCAACTGTTCTGCCTTAACGTTTATTTTTGTGGGGGGAAATACAAAGAAACATACAGATGGATACAGCTGAGAATCTTGGTTCATTGACATCAATAGAAACTTGGACTATTTTCACCCATTCAAAATGGAAATATGAGGTGTTTATTTGCAGATCAGAGGGTGCTGCTATGTGATGAAAGGGAAGTGTGCTTTGCTGTGCAAACCTGCACTCCTGGCTGCCTGGCTCTAGATGTGAAATTAGGAGCTATCAGCAGTGATCAGGGACTACTGCAGTGGGAAACAGCACAGCTGTCAGGCTGCACAGTGATTTTAATTTAAATATATATTCCAGTAATGAAGGATCTAATTTCTCTTGTATAGTTTTTATCTTCTTAATGACACTTAACAACTGATCACTGCAACACACATTAGTAGTCATAGGATAGTGACTTCTGTGTTGAAACTTACGATCTATTTATGTCAGAAGGCTGCATGTGCTCCAGTTCAGGACATTTTTCCATTATTATTTCTTTTCAGTTGAGTCAGAAAAACAAAATTCAGCCTCAGACATACTCCTTAAATATAATCCTCACTAAATACAATCCACAGTGTCCTTTAGTTAACTCCAGCCTTTCTCACTATATATTCTCTTTTTCTACTATCAGCTTAGTATAGTTTACTCTATCTCCTCACTAGCATGACAGGGCCAGGTATGTTCTGGCCCTGAATAAGGTAGAAATACTATTTAAACATCAAAAAAAGTGGTTATGTGAGAGCAGATAGGCTTTTATACCTTCACATTTCCCCTAGGAATATTTGAAGTCTCTAAATTTGGTATGGAATCATAGCTGAGAGAAGCTCAGCCTTTGTCTCATACTTTTCTCTTTTAGCATCATCACTGCTATTGCTTTCAGACATTCAGGGATGCTCTCAGAGGTACTCCTTATCCACACCTCTTTATTCTTCCTGACACTGTAGTGTAGAATAAACCGAAGACTTTGGATCTTTTTTTTAACTGGAAAAGAAAATGTTTCTATTATTTTTAAAATAAGTGCTGTAGTTAGTTAATGCATTAGAAAATACAATTAATTTCTAAGTTTTTGAAGTACCAGGCAGTATTTTGCTATGTTAAGTGTCTGGCATAAAAGAAAAATCTAAGTAGTAGTATAGAATAAAGCTGCAAATTATAGGGAGCATTGTACATACTCAGTGCAGAGAAAGCACCAAGCCAGGGGAAGGACTGATTTTCTGGATGTCTAGTAAATTAAATAATGTTATTTCCATCCAGTTAAAATGTATGTCATCTATGGAGGTTTAAATGCTTTTTTAGGCTTCTGCTGATACTTGAGACTTCCCAGATACAAGTAAATTAAACTCAATACAGATTCTTACAACAATTTTCAAAGTAGCCTAATGGAGCTAGATATCCAATTCCTATTGACTTTTCCAATGGGACTTGATTACTTAAGTGCTCTTTTTCCCTTTGAAAGGCCTTCCTCTTAATTATGCTAATTGGTGCTTTAAAATGTTTTCAAAGTCGGAGAGCTGTGCCTAGACAATGCTAAGTCTGAACCAGACAAGATTCATAATGCTAAATTCTAGGAAGCTCCCTCTAGCTACAAGGTGTATTTATTTTTCTCTTCTTCCCTGAGGGAAGAAATTAATTACTCAAGCTTGCCAGAAAATCTGCTGAGAGCTGTTACCTAAAAGAACTGAAAAGGCACTAGTCAGTGATGCTACCTCATGACTACTTCCATTGGCTGATGGAAGTATTTACATGCAACCCCAACCCTACTTCTACCCTAAAACTGAAAAAAAAAAAAAATACAGTGCTAGCAATAAATATGAGAAGTACTGTTGGTCTGGACGATATTGAAGCATTTAAATATTCTGGCTGAAACACCACTGTATATAATTTTTTTCAGAAGTTCCTGATTAGGATAATCTCTGCCAGCCAAAATAGAAATGAGAAGGTGTAAACATGGTCTTATCTACAAGTCAGAGAAATATATTTTTGGGGTTTTCCCTTTCAGACATACATTTTCTCTTCTAAGTCTAAATCTCTAAATAGATTTACTTCATAGCTTTTCTTTACATTGTGGGCATTATTTTAGCAATCATTAAGGATTGCTAATCATTGCTAACTGCTACTGTTTTAGCTTAGTGATAAGCCATATATCCTACTGAGGGGATGATTTGTCTGACCTTCAGTTATACCACAGAACTAGACACTGAATACTAAACTCGTCTCAAATACTGGTATCTTGGCCAGAAGTGTTTGCTAGAAATTGTAAATTATATTGGTATTTTAGTAGTAGAATTTTTGTAGAGATATTATAGAGACTTCTGCTGATTGACACAATATAGACACATATTTTTGTACCTTACTTTTACTAGCAGAATGAATCCTTTAGGAGCAATATTTTTTCGGTAGGGTTGGATGAAAACCTTGAACATAAAGTGAGCTGTAAAGGAGAAACCAATTCACATATATCTCTCAGTTAAAGAATGCAGCCATCCACCTTTTCTGGATAGCACTGGAAATGCATGAAAAGTGAGAAAAATTGAAATGGCCTGAGAATCAGTGGATTTTAGAACACTCTGAGGCAGGAGATTTTCTCCTAAAAGGCATATCAGTTACACTTTAAAATAACTTATTTGTTTCAGTTTTGCAACTGAAACAATCTTGAGCTGATCTTGAACTTTGTGATTGTATTGCTTTACACTAGGTTTAGATAGACCTTTTTTAACTTTGTCTCCTCTCTTCCAGATATTTTCTTAGGTTTTTATTCTATGTTCTTTAATGCTTATGATTACATTCCTTACTTTAGAAATATAGGAATTAAATCTGCCATAAAAAGGACCATGCTACTGTTGGGGAAATGTAGTGTAATCTCATAATCTCAGAAAAACAGTAGTGCACAGAGTGTTGGTATTGACTCAGCTTGGCTTCTTTTTTCTTCTTTTTTTTTTTTTTTCCCTCTTCCCATTTTGCTCTACTTTTACTTTAAATAATTGGGAGCCACAAATATAGAATAGCCCCACTTGATTAATACCATTTATCCGGGCAAAATCAAGGGGATCGTCATATGCTTTCCTGTCTGTTGGCAAGGTAAAACATCCTACTCAGTATTGCCATTGTATGGCAATCCAGATTGCTTTCATTTATGCTTTTGATCAAATTCCCTGCCCTGCACAGACTGGATCAGTAGGGCCATGGCCAGACCTTTCTGTGCCATTTCCCAGCCCTTCTGGCTGAGCTTTCTCTGGAGAACAGCATGCCAGAAAGCATGAAACTGAGCACAGGAGCAACCATGGTTCAGAGATCTACTCTAGGTGCTAAATTCGTACAGATTTTTTTCCCAACTTGATTGGAAGTACTGGGACAGATACTCTAAATCTACCCCGTACTTTTGCAGACATTCTGTGCAATGAGATTTCCCCCAGTCCATATTTGGATTCACCCAAATGGATGCTGACTGAAGTAGATAGAGAATAATCTTCAGGAGGTGATTCAGTCTGTCAGGTCCCAGCTTACAAAAGGCGACCCCCAAAGAATTTTTACAAAAATAACACTCTGTCTGTCAGCATTATTTTCTTTTGGCAGTTCTCCCTGTATACCCAAGAAAGATTCCAAATCTCCCAAGCAAGCTGTTCAACAGGCAAAACTGGGCACACAAATAGATTCTTATCCTTCTTTTTTCCCCAGTCTTGATTTTTGTGAAGCATTGTGTTTATATAATTCATTCAGGTTGTGTTTTCCAGCTGGATATTTTTTTCCTGCATTGTTGCTTTGGGGTCATTTTGTTGTTTTTTTCAAATATCTGAGGCAGTAGCTAATTCTGCTTTCTCTGGCACACACAGACCTGTTTATCAAAATGAAAGGAAAAATTTAATGAACAATTTAGAAAATACTTACTGAAGCATCTTTTCAAAATTAATTCTGGTTTGTAAGTTATGTTTAGTTCTTTGAATCTTTTCTACTGTAAAAAGAAACATGTGAAAAGCTCCGAATATGTAATTACTATTATAATGATTTTGTCTTAGAATGTCAAAAACCTTTCCAAGCATTAATTAATGGAAAGAATCAAATGATGTTGCATTGTTACTGCAGTGCTATTAGGTGAAGATTTTTTTCTTTTTAGTGACTTAATAGATGCTATAAATTATATAATTAGACCTTTAATATGCAATTGAAAACCACTTGATTTCAATGCAGAAATGCAATTCTTATAATAAAAAATTGCACATAAAAATAAATATCCCAGAGACACAATACTTAATGTGCTGCATAAATTCCCACAGTTTAATGTTCTTTTTATTCTTGGAATTGTGTGAAGAATATAATGTTTTTTAAGTTGATTTGTGGGGTTTTTTTTAGTATAATGTGAAGTTTTCACGGTGTTGTCAGTATTACTAAAAATTAACTCTTTTTATGCTTTCTTTTTCAGGTTGGCTTCATGAGCTAGGAAAACGAATTGAATCTCCTTATTATGAGAATAATACACTTGGAGGCCCATCAATCAGAAGTGCCTATATAGCTGCCCTGTATTTCACTCTTAGCAGCCTCACCAGTGTTGGCTTTGGAAATGTTTCAGCCAATACTGATGCTGAAAAGATCTTCTCCATTTGCACAATGTTGATTGGGGGTAGGTACAATTATGTGTCATTTAAAACCTTTTCAAGGAGTAGGAAAAAGTCAAAAGCTGAAATTTTGCTAGGTTTCTTCAAAGAAACCACAAATAAACACAGTGGAAAGCTTAATAAATTTAATTTAAAATGGCAAAAGTAGGAAACAACTTTGTTTGGTTCACACTAGATAAACTCTCTCAGGCAGATATATGTCTTTTGTTCATTTATGGTGATGAAAGACTGTGTTGCTCACTGAAATGAAAGTTCACATTATTAACAGTGGAAGTGGCCCAGCCATGTGTTGGGGATTTCAGTCACTGGTGGCAGACACTTTTCCAGACAGCCAGGTATGATGTGCACACCAGCTGCAGCTCCATCCCCACAGCAGCCCTGGGAATGGTGATGAGGGGAGGTGGGCAGCCCACAGGACAAAGTGTCTGTGAACTGGTGTGCATCCTCAGCTGAAGGACCAGACCAGAGAGAGGGACAGAACAGGGCCAGGAGACTGTTTGGTGAGCTTTAACATTAAAAAAAAAAAAAACAAAAAAAAAACAAAAAAACAAAAAAAAAAAAAAGCCATTCAATTATCATTGATAAAAACTTGATTCAGAATTGAATCAGAATGCAATTTTTTGTCATATTTGGAGCTCTTAGTAACATTTTTGTTTATGCTGATTACCTAGTTGTACTGTTGGAGTAAGCCACACTCTCATTCATGGTCCCCTTCCTTCTGCTGAGGCACCTGGGTACAATAAACAGAGATTTGTGAGCCAAGTTCTTTAGAGAAAGCACCAGAAGCTCTGTCTTGTCGTACATTTTCCTCCCACAAAAAATTAGATGTGCTATTTCATGATGTGTACATAATACAGCTCAAAGATGTCACACTGGCCATGAAGGGTAAAAGCAAGTCACTGCTAGAGTACTATGTCCTCCCTTTTTCTTCCTGCTGGCTTAGTTCTGGAAATACTAGTAGGTGTTTCTCTAGGGTTAGTCAGTAAAGCCCTGGGTGTCAGCTTTGCATGATAAATTCTCCTGGCAACAATAAATAGGAAATTTGACACTTGAAAGTCAGGGAACATGATGAATTACCTGTAAGCTATATATTTACAGCATCAAGTGGTAAAATAATTTTTCAATGAATTATTTTCATTTTCTTCAGTCCTGAAAATGAAAGGCAATAATATAACAAACTATCCAAGAATTAAATCATTTTAGTTTTCACAATGTCACAAAACCACAAACAGCTCATGAATTTCTTTTGGTGGTTGCATAAAATTATAGTTTTATAATACACTATGGTCTCTGTTATTTGGGGATTTCAAGGAGTTTTCATTTCTATCAAGAAATCAAGAGAACTCTTGTATAAGGCAGATGAATATTTAATTCACTTTAATATGGCAGAGCTTTCATAAATATAATAGAGTAGAATATAGAAGTATCCCTTACATTTATTTAGTCCAGTTATAACAATTTCACATTTATTTCTTGCAATATGCTTGTCATTGAATAAATTGTGAAGAACTAGTCAGGTGAGTGAAGTAAGAAGGAACTGATGACTGAAAGGTGAAGTTGCTTAAAGGCAAGTAGGTAGGAGAATGGATTTATATCTACAAGGCTCCAGTGAATAAGATATGTCCAGGTAAAGAAAGCAGAGCAGGCTGATCTGCAGCTATTTTCTTGAGGAATTGTATTTTAGATACTATTGAGGAAAATCAAGAAAACATGAAAGAGTAGAATGATACTGTGAAGATTAATGAGCATGCCTTGGGAAACTCTGTTAGGAATAAAGTGTTAATCTGTATGGTTAGGGACATTATGCCTCATCATTTCTTAAAACCTATTTTAGTGTATCTTTTTGGTTGATATTTAATTTTTGAATTCTCTAATGGAAAGTGATGTTCTGAGAAAAACTGGTGTAAGTTTTTCAGACTTTTTGACTGAGCCATTGGTTAATGAAATTTCAGGTGTAATGGCTAGGGTGAATTAGTTTAGTGGTAGGCCTTTTTTTTTTAACTCTTTAATGTATGACACTACAAACTGAAAAAATGAAGTAAATTTACTTAAACCTTGAAAAAGTTAGAGACAAAAAAAAAGGTGTAAGCTTAGCAAATAAATTATATATAGAAAACCTTTTTCATATTTACTGGCCTCTTCACATTAATTTTTATTTTGCATACATTTGAAACTTAAATTTTTAACAAATCATATTCTGAAGATAAAATATCTTGTTCAATACACAGTAAGTCTTCTTAAAGTTGGAAAGAAAATTTACTTATTAAAATGTAACCGGAATTCCTAGGACACACAGCATTTCTAAAATATTGATCAGATCTGCCCTCCAGCAGGTGATTATACCATATTCTGTCTTATACTCTCCATGTTCTTTCAGTAAATAATGTATATTTTTGTATTTGAGCGATTGGAGACCCACTCTCATAGCTCTAGTCCTATATGGAATCAGAGGTGTTTCTCTGTTCCCTAAGCAAAATGTGATTTAAAGTATCTATTAAAATAAAGGCCACTGCATGAAATACAGTTCCTAGAAGTTTTGAACTTGTCCTACTTGAGTTTAGACAGAGGCGTAATCGGTTTCTTACAGAAAGTAGGGTAAGTGTATGATTATTTGATAAAGAATTCTAATGCCTGTCACTGCCAAGAATAGCTTGTCATTATGAGAAGCAGTTGCCTTCCAATGTATATAGGCAAAGACAGATTCTACCACAGTGATAAAATTCTAGATTATATTTGTGCCTATAGTAATGTCACTGAGATCTCTACACTGTTCAGCTCCTAACCTTGGAGTCTAATGAGGGACTTAGATCACAGGTGAGTCTTATATTTGCATTCATACACCACTTACCTCTTTATTTCACCCCCTTTTAAAACTGATTATTGCATCCTTAAAGAGGATACACTATTTCTTTAACCTATTTATCTGTGTCTGGCTGAATTGGTTCAGGCCTAGCTGTCATATTTCTAATATAATATTCTGGATCTAGCATTACACCAGTCCCTCACATTTTGTTGCTCTAGCTTCTGACATTAATGACTTAGCAATTCACTGCACCATCATGAGCAGCACCTAGTTTAAATAGCTGATTATTTCTAGAAATAAATTTCCAGTTAGCCTCACTATTTTTACTACATCCATAATCCTTTTTTTTTCCTATTTATAGATAGAACTGCATCTATTTCTACGCTGCAGTTCTTTATCTATTTTTCTGCACTCCCTTCAAAATAAGGGCATAGATACTGTTACTAGCTCTTTTGCATTTTTCTCAGCCTGTAAAAGTTTTCTAACACTCCGAACTACAGAATTTTTATATTTCTACCATTTAAAAGTGCATCCTTTCCTCCTCCTGTTCCCCCTTGTTTCTTCTCACTCCCATTGGACTTCTGTAAAGAGACATACAAGGTCAACAACCTGTTTGTCTTATTTATAAACCAATTCCTTTGTCACTCTGAGAAGTCCGTCTGCTTTCTTTCAAGCATTATAAAGACAAATGTCCCTTTAGAGAAATAATCAATATTTCAGTATTTTTTTAAAATAAACAATTTGTAGATGTGTATGTTCTATTCATCACATATATACATGTGTATGTTCTAATATCACATGAAGACAATTTAGCAGTAATTCTTCCAACTCAAATAAGCAAACACTTTTCTGCACAGACAAACCCAGATGACCTATTATCTGTAAATATTTCTTCAATCTTGATTCTGGTCTTTTTATTCCCAAGCCAATCACTAATTGCAGACAAACTTCAGGATATCAGAATGATTTTAATCATAACTAACCCTGTCAAGCAACATAAGAAATCAGATTGTCTCTTTCAATATTTCTTTTACCCTGAATTTCTGCTTTTTTTTTTTTTAATGGAGTTTTTTTCTGGACTTTTTTTAAAATATCTCTCCCAGAATATGATACATATTTAAATGTTATTTACAACCCCATTCTGCTACACATGGTCCCCATTAGTAACTGCTTTTATTTATATGAGTTCTCTGAAAACCATTGCATTCTGTGTAGTTTCCAACAGACCACTTGAGTCTAGTTTCCATACTGATTATTAGTATCTCATTATGTTCTGAGCATACCTGCCTACATGTGTTCGTTCCTGTGCCTTTTGCAAGGGCCTGTGGTGACAGCACAAGTGGGAATGGTTCAAACCAAGAGTATGTTTAGATTAAATATTGGGAGAAATTCTTTACTATGAGGGTGGTGAGGCTCAGAAAGATGTTGCTCAGGGAAGTTGTGGATGCCCCATCCCTGGCTGTGTCCCAGGCCAGGTTGGGTGAGGCTTTGAGCAACCTGGTCCAGTGAAAGGCAGTGACTGAAACTAGATGATCTTAAAGGTTCCTTCCAACCCAAACCATTTTATGATTCTAGGATTCTGTGCTCTGTTTTCCTTTTCTTTTAGACTATGGACTTCATTTGACTTAATTCTTTTGTTAGGTACCCTGACTAGATAGAATAAGTTGTTGTTCTACCCTGTCCCATTATGGTCGTTCGTAGTGTCTCAAACACCATAAACTGATAATCATATTAATAGTACAGTATTAATATACTATTACTCAAGGAGTTTTATATTCAAAAGCTTTCTTATATCTCTCAGCCAGGAAATTTTTGCTCTGTGAAGATGCTGTTTATTTTATGTGTTAAGTTTTATTGATCAACACATCACTTCACATTGTATGTAATTTCTATGCTTCCTAGCTCTGATGCATGCCTTGGTGTTTGGCAATGTGACTGCCATAATTCAGAGGATGTACTCCAGATGGTCCCTTTATCACACAAGAACCAAGGATCTGAAGGACTTTATACGGGTCCATCACCTGCCACAGCAGCTAAAGCAAAGAATGCTTGAATATTTCCAAACCACGTGGTCTGTCAATAATGGAATTGATTCCAATGAGGTAACCAAATGAGGAGGGATTTGTGTTTGATTGTTTTGACTATGAACTATGACTATGAGTCAAAGAGGAGGGTAATTTTTCTTTTGTCATGCTGTGTTTTGTGTGAAGGTACATAGCAAAGAAAATTGTGCCTAAAAATAAACCTGGATTATCCCAGGAAGAGTGTATACAATTGAAAAAGCAGGTTTAAGACATCAAATGATGTAGTAAAATTCAGTCCTTTGTGATTCTTAAATGCTGAAGAGGCATTCATCAAAACCTTTTAGATGATGCCAGCAGAAATGCTATAATGCGTGTTTCTGTCTTTCACTAAACAAAATATCTACATGGCCATTTTAGGTACTTTTTAGGATTTTAGGAGAGACTATGATTCCTTTTCTTTCCTCCTGCATCTTATTTATTGCAATACTGTAAAATTTCAGCTGATTTTTTATGTTATTTATATCACTTCATTTTTAAATATTTCACAGTGTAACTTGAGTGTGAAATCAAAAGACAGATTTCTGGTGGTGTCTGTGCTTGTTTGTTTTAAATTACTTATCCAGGTTATGTGTTACAGTACTTCAGGAGAAATAATAGCTTCTCTCTGCTGGAGTGTTATTTGAATGGAGCACTCCCTTTAGGTTTCTTGTTATCTGTGTTATAAAACTCACTGGTCTCTAAAGATAATGTGGAAATAAGCAGAAAGATTTGGGGTTTGGAACATTCTTTTCCTGATAAATTCTTTTTGTGTTGTGCACAGCACAAAGAATGGGATTGTCAACAGCATCTTAGCAACAGAAGGAGCTTAGTAAGATTTACAAAGGTACAAAATGAGTTAGATGTCAAAGCTTTCCCAGATGTGGTTAATGATCACCTTCAGCTTTTGTACCTTCTGTACCTTTAGTCACACTGAAAGTGAGTGACTGCTGTACCACAGCTCCTGGAGAGGCCATCAGTCTTCCATTATTTCCCTCCTATGGACAAAGCACCTTGTCTGAGCCCCCCTGGTCAAGCATTGGCTGATTGCACTGTTCAGATGCCACATGCCCTCAAACTACAAAAAAAAACTTATATTTGTGGGCTTGCAGCTTGGAAGGAAAAAGTGAGACCTCGTGGTCTTTTAGTTTACATAGGTTCTTCCATTGAACGTGCACCTTGTCTCCATTCCTTTCCCACCCCTCCTTCAGTGTCCAGTTACATTATTAAAAAAGGAAAATAACAAGAAAGAAACACATTCAAGGTGGGGTTTGATTTTAGTTATTCCTCTTGCAGTGGTTTTACTATAGAATAAGTAATATTACATATTGGTGAATTTTATAGAATTCTCTGTTTTCATTGTATATGTCACTGCATACAATGATATATCTGAGCAGTCTACTGTGTTCTATCACAGAGAAGAACTTGGACAAACTTAAATTGTGCATTAGAGGGAATTCGTACAAACTGTGTTGTTGACCTTTTTTTCCTGTTTTTTTTCCTTTTCCTAGTGAGGCTTTTGGGATTTTTTTTTTTTTTGGTAGTAAAAAGGCATACATTTATTCATGTTTTTCCTGCAATGTATCAGTGTTAAAATTTCTTAAAATAGCACATCTCATCAAGGGGGTAAGAAAAATCAAAGGGAATTATTACCAACAGTAATGTGGAGCTCCACTAAATCAGGCCACTTCTGCAAAAGTGGAAACAAATAATTTTACGGATTTTCTCTTTTTCATAATTTTTTTCCTTCTTTCAAACAGCTTTTAAAAGACTTCCCAGATGAGCTGCGTTCAGACATCACCATGCACTTGAACAAAGAGATTTTGCAGCTTTCCCTTTTCGAGTGCGCCAGTCGTGGTTGCCTCAGGTCTCTGTCTCTGCACATCAAAACCTCCTTCTGTGCTCCTGGGGAATACCTCCTCCGTCAGGGAGATGCCCTGCAAGCAATCTACTTTGTGTGCTCAGGTTCCATGGAAGTCCTGAAGGACAGCACTGTGCTGGCAATCCTTGGTATGTTCACAATCATAGACTCAAAGAGGAAGAATTGTCCCCCAGTGCAGGAGAACCTTCACTACTAACTGGTGTGTTTTCCGATGAGAAATAATTTGTTTAGTTTTAATCTACAATACCTATTCTATGTACACTAGGTACACTTTTTTTTTTCTTTTTTTTTTTTTAGTTTGAACTTCCCTATATTTTGACATAAGGAGCATTCAATTGCCAGATTATTAGCTGTGCAATATTTCACTTCTGATTTTCTTATATTTATTCTCTCTTCGTGTAGACAGGTCCTTGTAACCTTTTCACAAAACTTGCTGCTTTCTGCTATATTTGGTGGTGGTACTGACAGCGCAAAGAACATTGGTCGTCAGTTCTTAAATCTTTCATGAAAATTAGTGGCCAGGCAATGCTCCCACTAATGTTCCCAAATGAAATAAAGTAATAAGAGCCATTCTTTGGCACTTGCCAATGAGCACCCTTTGCAGAAAAGCCATGTGGTGAAAAACAAGCATTGTTGGCTCTGGTCTCCAAGCTACTTCATGCTAGCTGATGCTGCCTGCAGTTATCTGAGTATATGGGAACTGAGAAAGGCCAGAAATTCTGTTTTAATACATTTTTAGTTGTAGTTTGCAAGATGACTGTTTTTACTTATTGAGGTTTAAGCATCTCTACCTATAAATTTCTGTGATTTTCCTCAATCTAAGTCCTACTAAAGAAATTCTCTTGATCTTCCACTAAAGGATGATTAGACCTCTCTCAGTTAATGTTTATAAAGCTTTTGGCAAAACAAAATATAAATTTTACTCTAAAAGTAAAATCATATAATTATTTTATTATGATTTTGATATCTGTTTAGACTTAAATGTATTCTTCTTTCTAAAAACTTTTAATATTCTTCTAAAACAGAGTTAAAAAGAACATTTCCTATTTTGCTTTCCTTCCTGTTTTGTGGGATTGCACTAGACTGTTGATAATAGAAGCTTCTGCTCTTCTATAATTGAATTTCCTTTATTTTACTAGAATGCATTTGATTAGTCTTTTTTAGAAAATAAATGTAATACAGGTCCTATTTGTTTCAGAACTTTTAATTCTATTAGATTGACAGTCCACATCACTCCATCGCTTGTTTTTTTCTAGGAAGTTTAAGAATCTCTTGATTTCATTGGATCACATAGATCAAAGATATAAAATATGACTTAAAACATAAGTGAAAAGACAGCAAAATTTCAAGAGGTAGTTCCATTGGAACTATGATTTCATTAATGATTCCATCTTCAGGCACTTCTGAAAGTACTAATTAAAGCATCATTGTGTAATGGTGACAATCAAAACAATAAGATATTAGTGGATTTCTGAAAGAAGTTAATGAAATCATAATGCAAAAACCATAATCATAACTATGAAATAATATTTTGTTACAGTGAATGGGAGCGTCATCATTTAAACCTAATTAACACCAGCAGAAGGTGAATGCATTAAACATGTAGGTCTCTATGAGAAATTGTGTTGCTGATGTCATGTAAATTCAAGACAGCAGTTTTTTTCCTGACAATGCTGAGTTACTTGCAGTTCCCAGAATATTTTATAATTCTGTCCTGATTCTAATTCTAGTGGATTAGTTTTTGTTTACTGAACCATTCTCACTAACAAGCAGTGCAGCGACAACTCAGTGAAATGCTCTCATTAAACACATCTTCGCTTCCTCTAGAGACTATTACTTTAATAATGATGATTAGGATACATTTTATGGTAAAATATGTTTTCATATGATTTATGTACTATTTAAGCATATAGCTTTGTTTTATTGAAAATATTAGCTATAAGTTATTTGAAAAATATCCATAATGAGAACATTCATAACTTTGGCTACTTGTCCCTGATTTACTGAAAAACAGATGTGTCTGTGAAAAACATGTATATATAAGCTTGTTATCCAGTTAAAGAAAAAAGAAAAGAGGTACTAAGAATAGTTGAAATGTTATGTAACAAATGTTGGCATTCAAGGTAGAATCATTTACTCACTTCATTAGTTCTTCATGAAACTTCAGGTTACTACCTACAGCCTTTGCTTCATGATTTTAATTTGAAAAATAAGCATATATTAGCACTACCAGATCAATTTTGGCATTTCAAGCCTGAAAATACTTCAAAATGTTAACTACAATCCAATAGAAATCTAACATTTTTGCAAAATCTTTATGCAATATGGATACTAATACTGTTCATATATCTAAAATGTTTCTAATTAGGATGTTTAAGGATCAGTTTTGGTATATTTGAAATATTCTTTCCCTAGTCCACCTAGACAGACAGCAATAAATTAACACTGACAGCCCTTTGCTTAATATAATGGAAGAAATGCAAGGAATTGTTGATATTTACAGTAAAATGTAAAAGTGTATTACTGATCAACTTTATGCTATATTTTATTATGTAGAAATACATGTTGTATTGAGCAAAGACAGATGTTATTATTACCTGTCAAATTTCTCTTTCCCAGACTGACCTAATCTCATACCAGTTCTCATTTATACTGAGATTCTTAAGAGACAACAAAGTAGCATTAATGTGTGCATATTCCTAGCATAAGAGAAAATCCCTCCCTACCTTGAGTTTCTAATAAGTATTTTTGAGAAAGTTGTACAAGCTCCACGTAAATAAGGAAAAAAATTTATTTTAAGGTACTAAAAATAATATATTGTAGTGTGAAACCATTCTATTTGAGAAGGTTCAGGGATGGCTGACTGATTAGTTTAACTTACTCTGCAAGCTGACAATTTCCTGTGTAATATATGGTTGGAATCACATGCTGGGTGGATTTTCCAACGTGACAGTCTTATAATTAATCACAGAATAATGTAAGATTGAAGGGAACTTCAGACCTTCAGAAACTACCCAACTTAAACCTGCTTAAAAAAGGGCAAATTTATCTCAGAGTCATAGAGGCTATGTCCAGGCAAGGATGCTCACAATTTCACAGCCTCTTTGGGCAGGCTGTTCACTATTTCTTGACTTTCATTTCCTGATTTATAGTGAGAATTTTATTGCACACTGTGCCCAGTACATCTTGTTGCCCTGTGTACTCTGAAGAGAAGTTTAACCCTGTTTTCTCTACAGTTTTCTGCTGGGCTGTTGAAGACAGTAATAATAGCCTTCCTTTGCCTTTTCTTTGTAAGATGGAGCAATAGCCTGTTTTTTCAGCCTTTTCTCATAAATTATATTCTTTAGTCTCTGATTCTTGGTAGTCTCTTTTTGACTCACTCTAATATGTCAATATTATGTCTTCTATTGGGAAACCCAATAGTGGACACGGTGCTCCAGATGAGGTATGACAAATAGAGGGAAAGAGTCATTTCCTGGGACTTGCTGGCTCCACTCTTGCAGATGCTGCACAGGAAGTCCTTGAACTTCTTTGCTGCAAGGACACATTGCTGGCTCACATTCAGCTTGTCCACAAGGACTCCCAGGGCCTTTCCTGCAGAGCTGCTGCCCAGCTGGATAGTTCCCAGTCCATACTGCTGTAGGGAGGGTTTTCATCTGGGGTACAGGACTTGGCATATGGTTTTGTTGAACTTTATGATAATTCTGGCAGCCATTTTGTCTCTCATTGAGGTTCCCCTTTCATGGCAACTTTGTCCTCCAGCGAATCAACCAATTCCCCCAGTCTGGTATTGCCCATGACTTGCTGAGAATGCACTCCATCCCACTGCCCAGGTCTTTAATGAAGACCATCTCTTATAACTTTTGGGGAAAACCTATGGTTCAATGACTACACTTTGGAATTTGTAGCTCAGCTTAGATGTTTATGCAAGATTTTAATTATAAAATTTCTGTGCTCCTCAATGTGGAGCACAATGGTCAATTGAGGATTTTAATGCAGCCAGTTTACTAAATCGGTCGTGCCCATAAATGAAAAAAAAAAAAAATCTAGCACAAGGATTCTGTCTTAAGCCATTTTTTCTTATTGACATTAAAGTGCTACCTTAACAGAAACATTAAAGTGCTACCTTAACACCTGCATGTTTTAAGACACACACAAAACCCCCTGACAACATATTTGTTGAAAAATAATTGCACCTGCTATTAGTTACTGGTGTAAATCTTCATTTTATACATATTTACGTCATCTCTCCTTAAGTCAAGCAGCCAGTTACCTGTCTGGAAATTAGTTTTTGTACCTCCAATGAATTGTGTATAAGTTTGCACCTGCAAAAAGAGGGGGAAAATTGTCTATGATCCTTTAGCATGTTATTAATTAAACAAGTCATTAGTAACAATGGAATTTCAGGTTCAGGTATAGCAATTGTATTAAACAGCTTTATGATTCAGAAAAGAAGTAAAGAATGTATGCTTTGAAGATAATTATTTTTGTATTCTCTTTTAGGTAAAGGAGATTTAATTGGAGCAAACCTATCTATTAGGGATCAAGTTATCAAAACAAATGCAGATGTTAAAGCTCTAACATACTGTGACCTACAATGTATTATACTCAAAGGTCTCTTTGAAGTGCTCGACCTTTACCCAGAGTATGCTCATAAGTTTGTTGAAGACATCCAGCATGATCTCACTTACAATCTAAGGGAAGGCCATGAAAGTGATGTAAGTATCTTTAAAAATCTCTGCAGTTATTGTAATCTTTCAGTTGTTTCACATACTTCAGTAATTTCCTATAATTTTGTCACATTAAAGAAGTAATAAACAAATTATGTTAAAGGAACTACTGATTCCATTTGTTTGATAATTCAGATATTACCTACATGAGTTTTTTATCATATGGTCAGATCATAAATATCAAACAACCTCTCTGCTTCTAATTTTCCGTAACAAACATCATCCATGAAAGAAAAGTCTTTGGTTTTTCAATATTTTTGTTTATGTCTAAAAATAATTCATAATTATGTAAGCTATGTGTCCAAATAAAGGTTTTTAGCCATACCTTTTCTAGAAGCTCATGTGCCAGCCTAATGACCATTCATTTCATAGATCATTGGTTATTGCTTTTAGGAAAGAATATTATCACACACACTGAAAATGAAAAACAGTTTTTTCACTGCAATTAAAATGTGCTTTTCCACTTAAATGAGTACTTTATTTTGGAAAAAAATAAAAGGAAAACAAACAAAAATCACAAGCAAAAACAAAACAAGAAATTCCAGATAAAGCACTCCTGAAAGGCTTCAGTACAGACTCACCAAAGTACTTTCACTGATATTATATAGAAAAGATGTATATTCGGATTTTAATTGTGGAAAGATTTTATGACATCTCTCTTTTTCTGACTTTATTGTGTGAATGCTCAAAGACAGTCATAGCCAAACTTTCAAGCTGGTAGTTAACAGTTCAGGTGTTTGTTTTGTTCTTCTCCTAACATAGAGAGAAGTAATATTGGAAAAACATGAATTTTCACTAGGATACACTCAAAGCAGGGGACAAATATAATGCCAAGGAAGAGTGCACCAAAGTACTTTTCAGTGCAAAACCCCCATGAGTTTGATATATGGGCTGATTTTTCTACATAGCTTCCTATTAGATGTACTTTGGTGCCAGTGTTTCCACAGCAACACTCTATTAAACCATTGCAGCAGAAAGGAGTCCATATATAAGTGTGTACTTCTGGAGAGGAAAATAACCAGGATATCTCATTTGTTTGTCTCTTGAAATGTCTCCAAACTTTCTGCTGCTGAAAACAGCAGCTGAGAGTACACAGCTGTTTTGAGAGTCTGGTGATCAGTTTGTATAACACTCTGCCCTCAGGGAGGAATGTTTGATCTGAAAAGGAGTAAAACTCCATGAGTTTGAAGATTATTGCATTTCCCACTATAGTTTCGTCATGGAACTTGATGGATCCCCTTCATGTTTTTCTGTATGGTGACAAATCTGTGGATCACCCTCTCAGCTGCATTCAGGTTTTATAAATTCAGGGACAACTCTTCCCAATTAAAGTCCCTCTGCTGAGAGCAAGCCTACAGCAGCCTTGAAGGTGCGTGTTTCTCAGGCTGTCTGAGGAGGATGGAATAAAGCAATGTGGGACACATCCAAGTAACTTTTCTGCTTTAAAGTAGAAAATATTTAGAGTGTTTTTGAATATATGTCATATATTCATTGTCTAATCTGTTATCTTAAAATTAAAGGAAATAAATATCCTGATATGTAATATCTTCCAGTGTCACAGACAGATAAACAGAATCCAACACAGATTATGAGTGTTGCTTTTGCATACATCCTCTGCCTGACTATCCCCCCTGCTACTATTTCTCTTGCAGTAGAACATCTCATTTTTTTCCCAACAATTCTACTTACCAATAAGGATAAACAGCATAAATAACGCAACCAAAAACTGTTCCACCACAAAAGCAGGGTTTGAAAAATGAGGAGAGATATCTATATCAGTAGCAAGTGTGCCTGGTCGACCACTCACTTTGCTTCAGCAGGAAAATACTGTGTCTTTGCTGCAGCTGGAATATACTTGCAAACAGAAGTAATTGGTGTTATCTGATGGTTATTCTCAGAGAAAAGTAAGAAGAAAGTTTTCAGATGTACAGGTTGTGGGTATGTTAATATGAATTCTTGCTTCTTTTTGGTTTTTGGTTTATTTTAAATATAGCACTTGGGAATGGTGTTATAGGAGAGCTTGTCAGCTAGGCCACTGTATCTGGATTCCCTCTCCCTAGTACAGGGAGATTTTACTTTTGAGAGTGTCTGTGACTTCTACAGCTTTATGGGATTTTTGGGTTCGGAGAACTTTTCCATAGTTAAACAGTAGAGCTATTCATTTGAATAAGCCTAGTTTTCACTCTCTTTTTCTTGGCTGTTCTAAATTACTGTAAATTTGTAGCTGAATGTGAATTTAATACTTAAAATTAATCACCAGCAGTATTTAGGGTCAGGTGAACTGTAGGGTGAAATAACATGAAATTCTCCACTATGACTTGTGGGGTCTCCTTCAGTCTTGACCTAAAATGTTATTGCATTTCTGTCAAAGTCCACAAAATCTACTGGAGGTTGAAGATTTATTAAAACCTTAAGCCAGCATTAAAAAGCTGAGAATGAATACGAATTTATTCCCAGTTCTTCACTATCCCCTTTTCACCTTCATTATTCTGATTAAAATTGAATCAGAGATTTGAACTGAATTAGAAGCACATGGACAAAAAAGGGGTCAGAAGTCATCTGTAGTGTCCTTCTCTAGAAAAGTCAAAATTGGATACTTGAAAGATTACATATCTTCCCTACACAAACACAAAAAGGAAGTATTTTAAATTTGTTTTCTTGGTTCATTTGCAAGTCTAAGAGGGTATATAATGATGTGTTTCATCTGCACTAAACTCCAAGTAATGTATGACTGTGGAAAAGGCTCAAGGACTTCCATATTTGTGTCCCTTTCCAGTAAAATGAGATGTATCCAGCTCTCCCAGTAACAAGTAGAAACTGTAGCTGTCTGGTTATAGACTGATTGAAAGAGCTGTTTAGCAATCTTGGGAGAAAAGCCCAGATTTTAAGTATAGGAGCAGAAAACTATTTCAGGCTCTAGTGACTAAAAGTTGGAGAAACAGACTCAAAATCAGAGAGATAAAGTTTGAACAATTCCTCATGATAACTCTTAAGCCAGGAATTACTAAGTGATTTATTATTAAAACCATTAATGTGTGTGCTCAGCCACACTGGCAGTGCTACTTTGCCATCTTTTTATACATTTTCATCACACCAAGATATGAATTAGGGGAATAGACTTTTTGTTGATTTTGCATATTCTGCCTCTTGCTTTCCTTGCTCCCTTTTGATCAATAAACCAATAACTGTACTTGTAAATGTATTCAAATATTAGGGACAGTTAGAAAATGCTCATTTTTCTGGTAGCTGGAGTTGACATTAAAACAATTCAGCCATTTCAACCAATTTTTCTAGGTCTGTGAATATGTTGTCATAGTAAAGAAATAGTTTGCTGACACAGATTTTGACATGTGCCTCACCCTATCTGTATAATTTTTCACTATGAATTACAGATTGCATATGTATTTGGCAGTGAGACTGTCCCATATCTGATCTGATAAAACTGAGCACTCAGAAGAAGGTTCTTCAACATATGTGGATACATCTATACCCATACATTAATACGAAAGAAACTGGAAATTATTTTGTTACCACCAGCCCTGGAAAATATGTTATTTGATGCATTTAGAGAGTAGCAGCAGCTTTTCATAACTGTGCATTATCTTATGAATATCCTGTGAAGAATTCAGAATAAGTAAATGTTTGGACAATATCTTTGTAGGCTTTGGGAGAGTTTATTGTTTCTGATTATCTTATGTACACGTGCAAAAGAATTTACAGCATAGACAAAATTTTTCAGATTAAAAAAAAAAAAGCCTGGTTAGAGTCACACTGATAAAAAGAACAAGAAGCCTCCTTGACACCTATACCATCAAGCTATAATTAAATCCCAAAGGAAGACAAGGCACATGCAGGCACAATCTTTGTCTCACTAAAGCTCTACATATGCGAGTCATTTTCAAAAAGAAGAGGTTATATTCCTGAAGAGTCAAAAATCTCTGATTGTAGATAGGACTTGTGGATTTACTTTTCCTTTTGTAGACTTAAAGGTAGTGTTCTGGCTCCTATAGAAGCTTTCCTTCCCCTCTCCCAAAAGAAGAAGCTGTTCTCTAAAATGAAAACATGCAGTTTGTGAAACACAAGGAAGGGTTGATTCTGTCAGTGCATCACAGTGTAAATGAAGCATAAGGACAGGGTGTCATGAAAATGTGGTAAATTCCTTCTCCAGCAGGGAACATGCAGTCTTACTGCACCTTAGCCAGGCTCCTTGATAATAAAATAAATAAATAGACAAATAAATTTTAAAAGGCAATCTAGCAACCAAGAAGCAATAAAACCAAAGAATCTGCCCACATCTTCCCTCTGGAAGGCATTGTCTGACAAAATAGGGATTAATTCTTGTTCTTTAAAGAGGCTGTTGTTTAGAATTTATTAAATTTTAATGACTGAGTTGTGAGGAATTTTTAATATAATAAAGCTCAATACCTAAGAAATTACAAGGAACGCTCCTCATTTTCTATTGGAAAATCTGACAACAAACCAAATCAACTGTTTGTAAAGCTGAAAGTAGCTCTAAGCTCTGGAGTATACAATAGAGGGCACAGCTTGGGAAGAAAAATATCTACAAATTCTAATCTAAAATATACTGAGCTTTCTGGTTCATTCCAGCAAAGCCTTAAGTAAGTATTTTAAAAGCTTATGAGTAATTCCTCTTCATGTCATTTTGACTGCTTATTTGAAGACTTTTATCTTTCTTTGTTCTAACTCTTATTGTCCTTGTAGTCATAAAATGGATAGCAAAAATATTTTGAATGCAAGTACAAAATTCAGATTAAATCCTGCCTTCCCACTGTTTGGTTTTCCGTTAGTAGATAACATATTTGACATTAATTCATTCTTGCCTTTTTAGTTCTCCTTTTTCTACTATCGATCATCTGAATTTACGAATGCTGCTTTCCAATATAGCAATAACACTTTCTATTACATATTTGATTATGTATTATGAATCAGCATTGAAATTAGTGTGAAATTTCTGATTTTTTAATGCA